GGAATACGGATTAAAGTTATTTGTTATATATAATGTCATACTGAAAGAATATACCATGTTGTATATTCAAATCTTTTAATGCACTCATAAGAATGATTTTATTATTATAATGAATTTCTCAATATCAGTTGAAATAATGACTACACATGGTTTCTCATAAACATACATTATTTGTAGTCCAACTGTAGCAAGTAAACCTAATTCAGCGGATCCTAAACGAACGTTCTTTTGTAAAAACATGTTCACCCATCTGAATATCATCACCAATACCTCTAAACAGAACATAGGCATACTGAAGATAGTTTACCAAATCCAAGTTAAACACTTACCTAATATCTTGATTCAATGAACATTCAGGAATAATACACATACTCTTCTCGTGTCGGGTAATTCAGTACCGATATTAATCATTACACATTGACCTTCGACAAGTGGTGTATTAGTCTGAATTAAAAGAGTTCGAAGTTGAACAAAATAATTCAATATTTTCTCCTGCAACATATATAACTTGGCTCATGTAAGAAAGAATAATATTTAATACAAACTTTACTACTATTAGATAAATTGATAATTAATGTTTCCTGATAAATACCACAAACCAGTCTAAATAGAAGACACAGAAAGGAATTTCATCTCGAAAGCATAGCCATGTGAATAATTGCTAATGACTTCGAAATTATTGTTTGTGTTTGACCAGGAATTTTCTTTGCAATGACTCTTAACTTGTCACCTAAAGCAAAAGTGAGTCTATTAAATAAAAAATACTAAAGTCCACATACTTCTGGTGTGATAGTGATATCATCTGGACTGATTCCTGTTCCACCAGTTGTCAATATTAAATCCGGTCGTCATTCATCACACAGTTTCAACAATGTTTCCTAGAAAAAAAGAAACAAGCTAGATTAATCTAACATTTAAAAGATAAAAACTACATACCTTGGCATGCGTCTGATTGTCAGGAACAACCTTTGAGGCGGCTCGTCCTGAATAGTCTTTTGTTGTATCATCATAACAAGTGGTACTCACTGGAATAAACTAAAATTATCTGACAAAGTTACTGAAAACATGTAGATATTTCACTAGAGGAAAAAAACTAGTTCTGATCAAGTTCATATAACATGATCATGGAGTTATTCTAAACAAAAAAATGTAAGAATAAAACATAGTTGATTGTATAACATACGAAATCGTTCGACAATCGGTGCTATCATCTTTGCGTTTTTTAACCATGCAGTAAGTTCTTCATCAAGATCATCATATGAGGATGCTAGTAAATTTGTTTCGAAGGTTTCGAAACGTAAGAAAAGTTCAATAATACCTGATTCTATCTAAACATGAGAATCATGATAGAATTGAATTTATTTGAGAGGAAATGAAATCACCTGTTCAAAATCTATTTTTAATTCAATCGCTGAACTTCTTGTTGAAAACGACTCTATTGATTCTGTTCAATTGTTCGTCGTTGACCATTTTTAGTTGCTGATTTCCATTCACATTCAGTTGATTGAAGTTCTTCAATTTTCTAAATAAAAAGAGTTCAGTTGCCCTTTTTTTTGACTCTTGCTCAAGATCCCTATGACGTTAAGTAAGATTTTCCGAGCAGCTTTTTGTTTTGTTAAATTTTCGATTGCTATTAGAGCTTGTTTTACACACCCTAGTCAACTTTTCGTAGAAGAATCCCCAGGGAGTCCCCAGGGATTTCGTTATTTTACGGGGACTTCACGGGGAGTCGTTGGGGGAGAGTCGATTAGGGAGCGATCTCAATGATAAGCTTGGCCCTCGTATTATAGACCTAAGCATTTGTAAATAAAACGGTTTATAGGAGCATTTATCCGAAATATAATGTAGAAAATCTAGTAATAATTCAAAGCGTTCAACATCATCCTGTTTATTGTTAGATTTAACTGTGCTCAGTTCTTCAGCGAGTTTGGATAAGTCAATCCAAATATTTTTAAATTGATATTTCGGCTTCCATCTGTGGCGATAATCGGCTAGAGGATTGTAAGAATCTCGATAGTCTCAGTAAAGCTTCATTAATAGTTTTTCATTGTACTTTTTACTTTCAAATAATTGTTCTAGTTCATCATTATTGGGCGTGGCTGATGTTAAATGCATAAAATTCCATTATTCACTAGCTTCTAATAGCTTTTTGGCTATTAAATAATAGCCAAAATGCTGCAATGAATAAGGTAAATATTCAGGATTCCATTCGAACTTTTCCATGGATTGATTCTTTTCAGAGTAATAATTAACTTGTGGTGAGATGATAGCGATTTGAAGAAGAATTTGTCAACAAACTGGATCAAAAGGTTGATCCGACCAACTACCAGTCGAATTTAACAATTCAAATGAACGTTCCATCCCAGTCATGCCAGTATATTGATCCGGTAGACAATGAGATGTTATAGCGTGTAATAAGGCTAGATACAACCAGCCTGTTGGGCTATCGGTCGGCTGTAGAATACGTAAGTTCAATAGCTGCCATTACTGAAAGTAGAAGACCCGATCTTAAACCTGTTAACGTACCGAAACATTGATTGTCATCGACATGCATATCGGAATATTCCCGTGATGTTATTGTATTGTGTTGTGAACTGTATTTAAATGCAATACCTAATCGAGATAAATGAATGTTAATAATACCATTCTTTGCTAACATGTATACATAGGGTTCACTGTCCAGACGTATAAAATATTTTGTAAATAAATTTTTGAAAAATGATGATGATCGATTAATTAAATAATGTCTATTTTCAGTATTGTTTGTCCTAATAAATCCTTTCTTAATTGCTAATATGTAATGAATGTCATGTAAAAAATTTTCATGTTGAAAATGAACAGGTCGAAATTCTACTATTTTCGTCTTATCATTCCACCAATGACTGTAATTTGAGACAAAGATTTCAGCTTGTTCGTCTTCAAAACATTTGGGAGGAATCAATTCAAATATGTCATTCGTTTGTGCGTGACGTTCGCAGATTTGCAAACAATAGTTTCGATAATTAAATTCATAATGAACTTTTCCATCGTGATGGGCTCCATGTTTTGTGATATAAGTATCGTCTTGTTCGGCTCTTTGCACTTCAAAAATATGATGACCAAATACACGTTGAAATAACTTGTCAGAAGTGATATTATTCGGTAAAAATCCAACACTATGATCATTAACTACAAATTTTCCATTGAAACAATCAATTGATACTTTATTGGATTCATATTGACCATCGTACCAACCATCATATATATTCTCGCTTCATTTCTTCCACTTGCCATCTGCTTTACCTTTAGTTCGAATAACTGACCAATATATAGACGCAAATTCATTTAAAAGTTCATATGAATTTTTCTCCAGAAGCCTTTTAACCATGAGATGCATGGAATCACATTAGACGTAGCAAATATTTTGATGCTATATTCAAAATACTTCATCACCACTTCGAAACCTTTTGCCTTACCTCCATAAGGATAGGCACATGCGATTTATCTACGGTAAATCACATGAGTAAATATGCGAAGGAATGCTTTCTTACTTTGACATCAAGCATGATGACAGGATGTAATGTGAGCTTATCTTGAGGACAACCACCAGATGCATACAGGTAGATATTAAAGCCTACTGCAGCTTGAACCCTAAGAAACTTGCATATCCTGTTCCTTGGCCAACGAAATGACAATGATTCAAATTAGTGTTGACAGCACATCGCTCAATTTTTATCTTTTTAGTCTCCTCCACTTTTTCTCAAGAACAAAAACTTTCCTATATTCCAATTCATATGTCTGTTGATGTCAACACTTTTCAATGCACTGAGTAAGATTTTTCAAAGAAAATTTAGTGAGCAATACCGCCAGCATGAGTCTGGTTGTGGTTGCCTGTGTATATGAAAGCAGAGCTAAAATCATATCCATACTCACTCCCACCCAAACTTTGTTGCTAAACACATACATTATATTCATGTTCGAACCAACTGTGCAATGGCAATGTACTCATTGAAATTATTGAAATTAGTGACTACTTTTGTAGTTGTTTCAATTAAATTTTATTCGATTCTTTATTTGTCAATTCATGTGCTTGTGGTAGGTTAGCGTGCCAAGTTATATTGAGTAATTCTAGGAGAACACAAAGGTGTTTATAACAGTTTACTAGCTGTACGAAATCCCTTTTAAAAATCAATGTCAATTCATTGCCACCTGGTCTGATGCCTAATCATATCACCGGTTAATATTTTTGATAAAGTTATAGAATTTCTTCGATAGGCATTTGAGGACCAAATTAAATGGACCATGTGATCCCAAGATATTTCTTGTGAACAATTCAATTTTATGATATTTTTGAAAGCCATCACTAATCGTCCTTATGAGTGTATCATTGATTGTTTAGTTTGCAGAATAAATGTGATGCAAAGAAACATGTCATTACCACTCAGCAACTTCACAAAAATTCCAAACATATTATTCAGAAGATTGACTCGGACCGTTTTTATGATCGTTACTGTCTGAGAAAAAAGAATTCAACTTGTGTAGATGCTCTTTAATGATAGCATTCTAGTGACTTGATAAGTGGTTTCTATATGCTGCATTCTAACTCGATTGTTTCTACACCGATTGAACTAAGCAAGTGCATATTATTATAGCTGCATTGTTACGTGACAACGAATACTGACGAAGTTTTCAATGGTGAACAAATTCATCAAGGTGCGATTCGATACCAGAGCACCAATTGCTATATCATAATTGATACGAATATTTCACGTTGATAAGAGCGGCTGTTTAATTATGGTAGTCACTACTGGCTCAAGATTTTCACTTGTTATTGTCTTTGAAATCATCAGTTACTAGATTCATGTTGTGTACAAAACGAATCATGAATTAATGACTCTTTTCAAAATGATGATCTTCTTGTGCTAACAAATACGTTGACTTTGATAATCATTGACCATTATTAGCATTGATTCAGTTCTAATTTTTTATACAGAATACAGTTGACGACTTTCAAACATATGACAATTTCTCCAGAAGATAACATATTTAAAGAATAGTAATTCCAATAAAAGAAAAATATGGATAGTCTCTTATCACATAAAAAAGAAGTAAAATAAATATGAAACGAAAATGATCGAGGACAACAAAATTCGTGATTAATAATTTAAAGTGATACAAAGAAAACGTGTTTAGGTAAAAAAATACATCAAAAANATTGAAATTAGTGACTACTTTTGTAGTTGTTTCAATTAAATTTTATTCGATTCTTTATTTGTCAATTCATGTGCTTGTGGTAGGTTAGCGTGCCAAGTTATATTGAGTAATTCTAGGAGAAAACAAAGGTGTCTATGAATTTTATAACAGTTTACTAGCTGTACGAAATCTCTTTTAAAAAGCAATGTCAATTTAACTTGGCATGGTTGTCGATGTTTAACCCATAGTTGAATTATCACCTGATCCGATGCCTAATTATATCACCAGTTAGTATTTTTGATAAAGTTATATAATTTCTTCGATAGGCATCTGAGGACCAAGCTCGTTCAACAACGAATGATTAAATGGACCATATGATCCCAAGATATTTCTTGTGAACAATTCAGTTTTATGATATTTTTGAAAGTCATCACTAATCGTCCTTATCAGTGTATCATTGATCGTTTTGTTTGCAGAATAAATGTGATGCAAAGAAACATGTCATTACCACTCAGCAACTTCACAAAAATTCCAAGCATATAATTCAGAAGATTGACTCGAACCGTTTTTATCATCGGTAATATCTGAGAAAAAAGAATTGAAATTGTGTAAATGCTCTTTAATGATAGCATTCTAGTGACTTTATAAGTGGTTTCTATATGCTACATTCTAACTCGATTGTTTCTACATCGATTGAGCTAAACAAGTGCATAGTATTATATCTACATTGTTACGTGACAACGAATACTGACGAAGTTTTCCATGGTGAACAAATTCATCAAGGTGTGATTAGATACCAGAGCATCGACCTCGGCGCATCTTCGTACATGTGAATAAGCTAATTCCATGACATGATTGTCCGTCGTCACAGATTGTTATATCATAATGTTGATAAGAGTGGTTGTTTAATTATGGTAGTCACTACTGGCTCAATATTTTCACTTGTTATTGTCTTTGAAATCATCAGTTGCTAGATTCATGTTGTGTACAAAACGAATCCTGAATTAATGACTCTTTTCAAAATGATAATCTTCATGTGCTAACAAATACCGGCTGTAATCGTTCACAAATACGTTGACTTTGGTAATCATTGACCATTATTAACATTGCTTCAGTTCTAATGTTTTTTATACAGAATATAGTCGATGACTTTCTAACATATAAAAATTTCTCGAGAAGACAACATATGTAAAGAATAGTAATTCCAGTAAAAGAAAAATATGGATAGTCTCTTATCACATAAAAAAAAAGTAAAATAAGTATTAAACGAAAATGCTCGAGGACGACAAAATTCGTGATTAATAATCAAGTGGTACAAATAAAACATGTTTAGGTAAAAAATACATCAAAAGCAAACATAAGCTAATGAGGGAGAACTAGAAATTCTAAAAGGTTTCACAGTAAGAGAACAATAGTTCAATGTTCAAAAAAAAAGATTAAAGATGGCAATAAGACATTTGATCATTAAGAAAATGAAAAATAATGGTAAGTAGAAGTTGGTTGCAAATGATAATGCTTTGGATATACCATTGAAAAACTATATAAAGATGGAAAAGAATAAAGAAACACTTCGATATCTGGGAATATGCATCAAATAGGTGATCAAATCAAAACCAATAAAAAACAAAAGATAAGTTAAATAAAAGGATTAAAAATAATTGAAAAATAATTATGAAAAAGTGCAAAAATAAATCTACATAGCCGAAAAAAATAAAATATAGTAAAACTAATGACGCAACAAAAGAAATATAGATATAAGAACGAAAGAACCAAGACGATATGATTGGGATAAATAGGATAATCGAAGTATAGAGGAGAGACATTCATATCTTGAGAGTGTGAACAAAGGTCATTGTTCATCCACACCTTCAAACTCGTCGATACATTTCAATATGAACGATATCAAGTCAGTTCCAGCCGTTTCTTCAATGTCGATGCTTCGTTCGGCGTTAATAGAGTTTGTGTACGAGCGCTATTAAATGGTGCCTTTTCTACATGTGTAGATGCCAGCATATCAATGAAACTTGAAACATGGTGTTGATAATTCTTTCCTGTCGCATTAATTGTTGATAAATCTTTCATTTCTCTGTAGACAGCCTCAGCCATGTTTCCATCTCTCATAAGATCTTGAATTTCGTTCCGATATGCACCATTTTTTTTATTTCCCCACGAGCTAGTTTGTTTATGATCCTTTATAAACATGGCTATTGCTGGCATATCGCGAGTCTTTATGTTTTTGTAGGGTGTACCTTTATATGAAGATTCTGGAGGGATGTGATTATTTTCAGCAATTCCTCGTCGTCCTCGCGTTTCGTCACATAATTCGCCATAAAAACCTATCAATCCTTCTTGAACAATTTGTATAATCTCTTCAGGGGATTTCTTTTTTTCCTTTTCAGCCCCTCCTACGATTAAAATAGAATTTGCCACCTGTGGACAACGAGATGAAACCCATTGTTCTACTTCAAATATTTTCGAAAATTCTTTAGGATTATCTTCGATTCTCTGAGCTCTATCATTACGAAGATCATCGATAGATTTATCGATACTTCGATCCTTTAATATTTTCTGAATAACACTATAACCACAATTATTTTTTTCGCTTTGAATATCAACTAAAGTACCATCTCCCTTCATAAGTTGAAAGTGCCCCACACTAAAATTTCCTTGATCATCTTTTTCTCCTTTCGAGTACACGATAATGTTTGTGCCTCTCGCTTGATCCTCATCTGTAGGTTGATAATTGACATCATCGACTATTTTTATATCTACATCATTTTGAGCAGCAATTACCATCATATCAGAAAGGTTTGCCGGTTTTTCGTTTCTTACTCCGTCAATATATTCTTTTGTTTTAGTATCGATTGCTCCAGGATTAGATCTATCTCGTTGCTGTTGAGAATAATGAATGATTTCACATTGACTATACGCAATCGTATAATCTTTGGCATTGTAGTTAATTTGTTGTGCAATAGTATTGTATCTACTTCCACCTTTTTCTTGCACCTCTCGATTTTGACTATCAGAATTTTGATTTTCATCGACAATAAAATGATGTTGCACTCTAGCTGAAATAGCTTTTGTCAGTTCACCCATACCATAACTACTCCACGGTGAAATAAGTTGGGACTCTGTAATTCTAAATACTTGCTCAGTAATCATATCTGATATTGATTTCATTATTTCACTCAAATCATTGAATTCTACACTAGCTAATGACTTTAAAAAGTTTACAACTTTGTCTCGATACATATCCAATATACTGAAATCTGTAGAAATTAAATTTTCAATGTTGAATTCTTCATTTGTATCTAATATTCCTTGTGTTTGAAGAAGACTTACAATTCTGTAAGTATCTTCTTTTGTGACTCCACAATAGCGACGTAAAATCTGATCTATTGATAAAGTGTCTTGATCAATTTGTGAAAGTTTCTCTAAAAGTTGATCATGAACTTTGTCAATAATAAAAGTAATTTGATACATTCCATGTAGGGTACCAACTATTCTCATACCCATGCTGAATGGGCCACCTACGTGTTGTGAACTTGATAGAAGACCTTTGCACAATGGACCACCAATAGAATCCCACTGTTTACGCCAAAAAATATGTTCAGGATTAATGATTTCAGCTACTGATTTATTTATTTTGTCTTTAAATTGTTGTTGCTTATTACATGAGTCGATAGCATACATTTTACGGACTATTTTTAGTAATTTAGGTTCATTAGAAAACTTATCGCTAACTTTACTTTGTATCATAGCTGAAATTTGCGGTTTCAATTGTTCTAATACAAAATGTGAGCTAAAATCTGCAACTTTAGTTAAACCTTCCCTCAATGCATTTTCACCAATTGTTACTCCAATTTGTTTAATAGCTAGGCTTTTTAAATTTTTTCCAGTCGTAACTAACACTTGGCTTACGGCTTTACCATCTGTTATTATTTTTGTACCAGCTTGTTCAAGTACTTCTTCTCCTACACCTGTCACTAACGTTTGAATCCCTTTACCTGCATCTTTGATTGCTGAGAATCCCATTGAAACTGCTGAAATAATAAGACTTACTGCTTTTTGCTTTCCATAATCTGACCAACTGAATTGTCTCGTACTATAAGCTCGGTAGGCAGTGAACAAATCTGCTGCTCCTTCAGTGATTAGACCCAATCCTACCGTGGCACCGAATCCACTTGCTATAAGAATTCCACCCACTGCCATTTGAACAGCAGCAATAGTAACTACAGCAGCAATACTTCTCCATGGAATAAATCTCTTTTCGCTAATTTCAAGTAAATACTCGATTCCTCTTCCAGAAAACTCTGATAGCTCTAAATGAGGTCTTGATTCATTCATGAATAGTTCATTTAAAGATTTTACTTTGTTAATTTCTATATTTTCTTGTTCTACTGGAGCNATTGTCCTCAAGATACGCTCCCATCACATCCTCTCACCATGCTTGATGTCAAAGTAAGAAAACATTCCTTCGCATATTTACTCATGTGATTTACCGTAGATAAATCGCATGTGTCTATCCTTATGAAGGTAAGACAAAAGGTTTCGAAGTGGTGATGAAGTATCTTGAATATAGTATCAAAATATGGGTGTGGGTGTGATCCTAATCTAGATCGGCATGCTCTTGAGGGTGTGGGTGTGATCGTAGTCTAGAGCGGCATGCTGGCGGACCACCACACCCTTCCATCGAAAGAGTGCGTTCTTAGTCAACTAAACAATTTAAATTTTTAATTCAGAAAAAAGGTTAGGCTTATGTCTTTATCTACAGTGTATAGCGCATTTATTTTAGTTCTTCACCTCAATTTCTTATTTTTTATTTTCTTCTTGTCATACCATTTTAATACTACATGTCCCAGGATGATCGTCATGAGCAATATTTGTCAACAGAACAGCGCGTGTTTGCTGTGAAAGCATTTTACCAAGCAAACAGTGAACTTGAGAACTGTCGCTGTTTTAACACAAAATTCAATCGTCAAATCCGGCGAACAACTGTCGCAAATATCATCCATCGCTTCAAAGCATTTTGTACAGTTGCTGATATAATCCGAACAGGTCGGCCAATAGTTCCCCAATGCATTCACAACTGAACTGTTGTTGAAGCTATCTTTTCAGGCAATCGAAGAAAATGCTGACGTCTGTGGCAGGATCGTTTAAATAATTTTTTTAATAAAAGACCCAGATTTTATGTATGTGCACAATCGAATTTAGAAGTTATGGCCAATTAAAAGGTGTCCCATTACTTTTTCATCAGCTTGTAAATTATATATTTAAGCGATGGAACAGCACCATTTGCTGACTTTTGGCCCACCCTATAGTAAAAGTTCTACTGTAGATTTGATCAGCGATCAGAAAGCATCGTCTGTGGGTGAATATATCGAACAGTAAATAACTGTTTTCTCCGTAAAGTTAACAGTGTTTATCTCTGCATCTGTATGTAACTTTGTGATTACTAATTTGATTTTTACTACGATTTTGAATTAGAAAAAGCTGATTGAAACATGAACAAAAACAAATTCTGCCATAAAAACCTTTCAGTGTAAAAGTCGAAACATTGTTTTGACTGGACGTCCACGAGGGGTCTGACCAAACTAAATAAAGCTTGAACATGAGGGATCCGAAACTCGTGCGTTCTACTGGACATCCTAGATTGATCACTCCTTAGAAAAAGAAGGGATCGGTAAATCTGGAGAAGATTTTCGCAACGACAGAGCCAAAATAATAGAAACTAATCCTCCGCTGTTTTCTAAAGTAACAAAGGCACAACAATGGATTCAAACTCGTTATCCTCAGGAGGCAAATTGTATATTAAAGGTAGGATCTGGAAAAAGAGGCCCTAGTCCAACTGACCCGACTGCAAGGAGGGTGAAACTGCGGAAAAGTACAAAGGAACGCTCGCGATTAGCTGCACCGAAGACGGCTGCAGGAGATTACATTGACCCGAACACAGGGAAAGTGATCCCTAAGAACGATCCCTATGATTTTGGACATCCAACCGGCAAAGAATGGGTGACGACTCAGAAACAGGCACGGGCTGAGGGATGGTCCCGGAAGGAGGTGATTGAGTACGAGAACAGTATAACTTATCAAATTGAGGACCGTTCGTCTAATCGGGGGCATCAATTTGAAAAGTCCAATAGAGAAAATGAGCTGCAAGCACCGGTGGAACAGTACTTAGAGTCAGAAGCGTAGCTACCCCCCTCAACGTTGAAGAAACAGACAAATTTTGACCGAAACTAGGTTATTTTTCACCGAAAATGCCCCATTTTTGGTCAAAATTTGTCTATGTGTTCAAATGTTTTTTTCATTCTTTTGATATTTTTGTATTTCATAATGCTGTTGTTTTTTATATGTATTTGTTCATTATTAAGAGATACACCGTAATTTATCTGCTATGTCTATGTTTTGTTTCTCATGATCATTTTTTCCACCTGCGCGATCAAGTGCAGCGATCAATCTCTTTCTCATCCCTTCTCATATGTTGTCAAACTCTTTCTGTTTTTCCATCGATTGATAGTGATCACCATCCTGTTGTCTAAACCCCTTCTTTCAAACTGCCCTCCTTTCATTCTCGCTATCCAGTGAAACGCAATCTCTGTTCTGCCTTCGAAATTTTTCTGACATTTACTTCTTCTGTTTGAAACAAATTGTGAATTTCTACGTCGGACACAGCCGAATTTTTCTGTTTATATGAACGTTTTCTCTCGCTATGTTTGGCTCGTCTCACCTGTTTCTCATATCGTGAGTCGTACAAACTGTCACTACCATCACATCTCGTCGAACTGATTGAACTCAAATGATATTGTCTTAAACTATTTCGAAGATTTGCATATCCGTATTTTGCTGTTGCCCTTCGTGAATATTCGGTAATCGTTCGACGAGAACTTCGAAGATAAAAGACAATCGTGGCACAGCTACTCGATTATAGCTTTCATATGACCGATGCTCAAATTTTAAGTTGTTTAATTGTCTTGAATGCAAATAGTGATAAAGGAAGATTATTACAAATAGGTACTGGTGAAGGCAAGTCAACTATTATAAGTGCGTTGGCAGTGATTCATACTTTAAAAGGGGAAAATGTCAAATCGCTCAATGAGCACGGCCTTCAATTGTTTTGGAGACAGGTCAAACGTCACTTTGGCGCCCGTGCCCCGCCGATTAATGGATTCTTGGTAAAATAACAACATCGTTTCATCAACTACGGAAATGTGTGGTCTAGCTCGAGATTTCTACGATGAACAATTCGCAAGGTACACAAACACAATGGCTTCAATTGAGATCGAAGCTGAAATTTCGACAAGGAAATGTATGATAATTTAAAAAATGATCGACTACTTCCGGCCCCGTATTAGGGTATCATCACATTTGAAAAGCAATCTCGTCGCTGAAAAAAATTTGACTGAAGTCGACGGAATTTCAAATCGAATATTGAAGTTACTCCCGCGTCGCCATCTACCGATTGTCTTCTCGTCTTTCAACACATTCGCAGCAGCATTTTGAACCCCTTCTTACTGGCATGCAGCGAAAATGATTCTCTTGTCAAAAACGAAGTCGAAAATCGTATCACTGGAAGAAACAAGACCTGTTTTGTTACTACCGTTTTTCTCGAAACTACGAAAAATGTTTTCTCGTTCAACTCCGTCCATGGGTCGATGATCAACGAATTCTACCCGATGGTTAAACTGGACTTTAGTCCTGGTCACAATACGGCTGTTGAGTGTGGGTGTAGGTGCGGGTGTTGCTTTTGATAAAGAAATAGACTCGGATGCGCATCCACACCCACACCCTCAAGTACAGATTGATATAGAATATTTAGAACTGATTAATAAACTAGCATTGGTTAATGAAAATGTCGAAACAACAAGCACTGTCGAAATAAAGAAACACATATCGAGGTTGAAACCAAAACAATCATGTGGATTCGATGCAGTGTCGAATTATATGATCAAAAGAATTCCATCAGGTTATATTAATTGTCTAGCAAATTGCTTTAATACTTGGTTAAAAGAATATAGGTATCCAGATGTTTGGACATTAGCTATAATAATTACATTGAATAAACTAAAAGTAGGAGTACCTCGTTGCGAGTAAACACGACCAATATCACTTTTAGCAACACATTCCAAACTTTTTGAGAAAAATGCTAGAAAGAATAAGACTATGGGCTGAAACTAATAGTTTAGTTCCAATCGAACAGTCGGGATTTCGTCCAGGTTGTCTTCTCCCTACCAAAGTTCTATCTATATATCAAGAAGTCAAAAACAATATGACAGCAAATATTCCAACGCTAGCAATTTATGTAGACTATCAAAAGGCCTACGATAAAGTGTGGCATAAAGGTCTTATCGTAAAACTCAACAGACTCAGTATTCCTTTAAGACTATTAAAATTAATTGTATCGTGGCTAAATGATCGACGTCCATATGTTATATTTGGAGAGAACAAGTCGGATATATTTTACACTTATGTCGGTCTGCCTCAAGGTAGTAGTTTAAGTCCATTCTAGCCACATATTTGCGGATGATCTCAACATACTCATATCTCCGCCGATATGCCGTGAAATAAAACCAATGATTAAGTTTCTAGAAGAGGAAGGAACTAAAATTTGTAACCAAATAGCAAGCTATTCGAAACTAGATGGTATTCAAGTTTCACTCAAATACGAAATGCGATGCGAAGCTCGAATCGGATCCTCACGGAAAATCTTCAATTCAGAGAAATCTTGAATACTTTTTATGTAGCCATGATGAAATTCATCACTCAGAAAACTCCATTCTTACTTAGCGATACATTCTTAAGGATCGAATTCGATTGATCGATTAATTATCTCGATGACTCATTATCTTAGATCAGCTGTCAATGAATAGACTATAGTGGCTAACATATGTTGATGACGTCATTTTAATTATCTCGAAGTTTGAAAACGACAAATTCCTTTCATTTTCGTCATTTTGGAACCACATTTCTGAGTGAACGGAACTTCACTTTAAAGATTCGAAAAAAGATTTCTCAAGTTCGATCTTGATATTTTCATCTCCAATTTCAATGAGTTCTCTAGCATTTATGGTTCTCGAGATCATCGCGTCACAAAATGACAGAAAAGATGCGTACGGTCAAGTAAAAAAGAAAAAAAAAAC